CCCCCCCCCCCCCCCCCCCCCCCGTTGTTTGGTTTCTAATACATCTGCTTATTGCTTCTTCATATAAATAGATATCTCCATCTGTACATACATGTATATATTGTGTGTGTTTGTATCATAGGACTATTGATCCTTTTCACATTTATTCTATATCCAGTCCAATCAGGGCCTGTTTCCAGTGACAAAAACCTGACCCGAGATGACTTAAGCAAAAGGGGTTCTACAGGCTCACAGAATGGGAAAGCTCAAGAAGTAGGCTGGCTCTAGCAAGAGCTTGATCCAGGGTTCAAACGATGTCACCATGCTATGGAGGACCTATGCTACGTCTCTCACTCTCTCTCTTAGCCCTGTCACTGACATGTTGGCTTCATTCTGAAAAAGCCTGTACCAGTTAGCTACTATCACAAGGATGCTGACAAACCAGCAACCACAAAATATCAGAGGCATCCAACGATGAGCGTTTCTTCCTCACACATCTGCCAGTCAGCTGATGTCAACTGGGCTTACTCATCCCCTTTGGGGGTCAGTTGAGTTAGATTCTGTGTGGCTCTGCTTCAGATGGGGGTCCAGCTAAGCTGAGTTCCTCAATGCAGGCTGGGGATTCGTCTTGAGGTTGGGCTGAGGGGGCGGCAGCTACCCTGGGAGATTCTTCTCACGGCCACAGCAGAAGCACAGAGAGCGAGCCCCACTGTACCAGCACATGCCAAGCCTCTGCTTGTGTTACATCTTCTAACATCTCACTGGCCAAAGCAAGTCACAGGGCCAAGCCCAAATTTCAGGGCTGCCCGCCATACGGCAAGTCACATGGCCAAGCCCGACATCAGTGCAGTGAAGCACACTCCCCTCGTGGAAGTGAGGGGACTGAAATTGAACTATAATCAAACCTACAACGGTCCTTCCCCCATCACAGTTCCAACATAGATACAACCTCTTCCATATTTACTTCTTCCCAACTTCGAGTCCCAGGAGAAGAATGCCTGCCTCAAGACCCAGCCCAGGTCTATTGTTTCTCACTGGCCCTCGTGCATCCTCACGCGTCCTTGCACCAGTTACTGTGACAAACAGGCTCACCTGCGTCGACCAGAGCTGGGAGGTGGATCACCTTGTTCAAACCGCATGGGTTAAATTCTACAGACAGGAACCAGGACACAGTTACAAAAATCACAGTCAAGGATCCCAGGCTGCAAGAAATGACATATGTCAATTGGAAGGACATCACTCCCCCCGCCCCCCAGCTCTCCCTGCGCTTGCTCTTGCTCTTAATGCTGGGGCTGGTTCTCATGGGCTTGCATCCACTACACTTCCTGTTCCTCTCTCCGGTTCTGCATGCGAGAGTCTTGTGTTAGCCTCTGCAGTGCTGGGCTCGGTCTCCCTCACGCTTGGCCCCCAGGCTGCCCTCTAGAAACGCTCTCAAAATTGCCCCTTCTCCTAGGTGTCATTCCGCAGAGGATCAGTCTCAGAACACCTCTATCCCCATGGGTGCCCACACTGGCTTCTGGCCCTTGGGATCAAAGACCTCGCTAGCATCCCTCTTCCCTTCTCTGGGTCATGTGGACATCCCCCCACCTCCAGCCCCAGCCAGGGGCTGCAACCTGCCAGGCTGCACACTGGCCAGCCTGAGGCCAAGTCCCTGGACCTGACAGCTCTAAGGCAGCTGCCCTGGGGCCTCTCTCAGGTTTGTTCTACAGGAGAGAGATTTATTTCCCTGAAGTTTCAGGGCAGGAAAAGACTCGCTTCCTGGAGGCATGCCAAGAGGAGGCAATCCACCCAGGAAACAAACAAGACCTTTTTCTCTCTCGTCTTTCCTGCTTCCCCAGGTCAAACCTCCCTGCCGCCCCTGAGTGAAAGGGAAGCTGTCAGGATCAAAGTCCCCCGCATCTGTGACGAACGGCTGCTGGCTGGACCCACACAGGAAGGCCTGTCGGCTCTTTAACTCCTTCTTACCCACTATGTGCTGGCTGCATTCATAAGACTTCTGGAGTCACGTTTCAGTAAATGAAACATCTTTTTATGAGCAGAGAGCCATGCCAACTGGAAAGTTTGAAAGAATGATTAAGGACTCAAAAGGCAACAAAATCTGCCTTGGAGTATTTCTTGATCTCCTCAATTGCTTCATAATGGATGATCTAATATATTTACCCCTGGAGAGTGAAAAGACTAAGAGGAGGCAGACGGGCTGTCTTATTCTCTCTCCACCTCTCTGTAGCTGGGAGACCTCAAATAAGCTATTTAGCCTTTCAGCACCTCAGTTTCCTCATCTGTAAAATGGAGATAGGAATGATAGGGATCTCACGGTATTGTTGGAAGGAATAAATATGATAATGCATATGATACACTTAACCCAATGTCTGGCATGTAGTGCAAGCATCGGTAAGTTTCATTGTGGTTATCATTATTATTTTTATCGTCCCAAAGGAGGAGAGGGGCGGTACCCAGGTTTGCTGAAAGCCAAGTGCCTTAAAAGTTACAAGATGTGCTCTGCATAATCAAAACTCACACAGCTGGGAGTCTCCAGGCCTTTAGGGTCTGTTAAATAAGCACGTGAGAGAATCTTTGCCACACCTCCTAAGACAACAAAATGTGATCATTGTCCAAAGAAAAATGGGTTACAGCCTAAGAGTACTGAGCAATCGTACGGGCAGAACTGGGAGCAAGAGGACATCATGGGGCAGTCCCAGACCTTTCATTCCCCAAATACCTTCTCAGGACCCTGGCTTTGTGACACAACAGTGAACAATAGGGATTTGCAAACTAATGGGAGGGACAAAGATATACATTGCTAACTATATGTCTGTGGTAAGTGCTTAAAAATATAAATAAAACAGTCTGGAAGAATGTTGCAACTCTGCACCTACTTAACTCCACATTTCCCTACAGACACTTTAAAGTCCTCATTGTGGAACCCATCTTAGGTTACTTCCAACTCACGGCAGAGGTAAGCTGTCAAGAAAGCACCCAGTGCTTTTCAGATTCTAGATTGTTCCATCAAATTAGACATAAGAATAGGCTGGGACTTTGGTAGTTTGGCCCTGGTAATTTTTAAGACGTTTCACTTCTTATCAAATAAATTTTATTAATTTACTTAAATGGGTTTACGGCCATGAAGACTTTCTGATACCCACCACCATCACCCAGCCTGGGTCTGGAACTGTTGTAAACCACAATACTGCGTATGAGGATGGCCACGATGCCTGAGAAAACCACAGAGAAAAATGTGGCACTTGTGGCTTATTTCCCTAGAGCCATGTTGAAGAGAAATAGGATAGTTTCAAGAAATAAACTGCTAAATTTATAGAGTGAAAAAAATATTAGTTTTAATTATAGTCTAGACTACCTATCTTGGAAATCATCTTGCCTAACACAGAGTAATTTGTGGAAACGTGGGGTGAGTATGACAGCAACAAATGAGGGGTAGCTTGTCCCAGAATGATATGGGAAACCCACTTGCTCTCCACTTGCTGAACAAGCCAAGTAGATAGAAAATTATCAAAGGGCAACATATTGAGACAAGATTCTTACCTAAATATCCAGTAGAAATTGCAATAATAGTACTTCCAGACTCTTTATTCATCCCTATGATATTTATATGAAAGGACGAACTTCTCTCATTACTGGATTTAAAACGCTGTCAACTGGAACAACACTCTTAGTAGGTTGTGAGGAACCACGGGACAACTGTACTTTAAGACCTTCCAATTCTCTTCTGTGCAAATGAGTTTTAAAATGTTAGAGAATAAAAGGAGTTGATCTACTTAAAGAATTCTGGCAGAAAGTCAGATTCAAAAAAATTTTGACGCTTCAGGTTTGAGCAAAACAGGCATTGCTGAAGAGAGACAAGGGCGTTGAGAAAGTGAAAGACATGCTAGTATGGTTACCGAGAGAAGTCTTTCCTCGCTAAAATGAAGGAGGAAGGAGAGGAGGAGGAAACAGAACAGGAAGAAGAAAAAGAGGAGGCAGAAGAGCACAGGAGGGGAAGAGGGGGCGAGGAAGAGGAAGAAAACAGAGAGGGCTTCAAATAGACTAATAATAAAGTCACAAAGCACTTTACTGGAACCCATTTTTTTCATCTTGCTGATTTAAAAGAGGAAAGGATGGGATGAAAGGCACTGTGACATTTCCCCCGTTGCTACTGAAGCCGTCTCCTACGAATGAGGGACCTGAGATTTAGAGAGAGAGCGGAGCACTGACTTACGATGCAAGGAGCATTGAACCGACATTGACTGAATGCTGCCGGCCAGCCAGTCAATGTGGCAGTGGCGAGAGCTGACGACTGGCCAGACCCAAGCGCTGCATGGCCTTTGGGGACCACAAGGGAAGGAAAGCTGTGGTCACAGCGGGCTCTGACTTCCGCAGGGCCTGAAGCAAGAGCACACACAAGGCGCTGATCCCTTAGGTACAAACACTTCAAAGTTTTCAGTCAAGCTCACAGGCTCTTAATAAAATATTTTTTCTCTTTAACAAATTTGTTGCTATTTGACAAATATTCCTTCATAACAACAAAATTAAACTAGATGTAAACATATGGTTTTTATATGACTGAAAGCAAAATAGCAAAAGATTCAATTTCATTATTATTGCTCAGGTCGGGGCCATCTGCTGATGGCCAGTGATGCTTAGATGAGTAACAAAACAAAAACCTACATAATTCAGAACTCATGTATTCATTTCACAAAATTAATGTCCTTGCCTTCAAGTAAAATTTGTGTTCAATTGACTGTAATTACATGAAGGATGAAAATACAAATCAAATTATATCCAACATGTACAAAATTTGCATATATCTTACCAAAATGTAAATTAAGCTAAATATAAAAAATAAAATAAATATTTTATTTATGAATTCATGTTATTTCCCACCTAAAATATTGAAAATTATCCCCTAAAATTTAAAACCAAAATACAAATTATATATGAATAAAATGAAAGGTTTAAATCATACTTATTCAAATAAAGCTGAATTTTTATTTAACTTTTTGAAAATCTTAATTAAATCTTATTCAACATTTTTCTTAAAAATAAAACTATTTCCACTGCTAGCCAATTCAACATCCATTAATTGGCAACATAAGTTGGTATTTTGCTTCATGCATTTGAAGTCTAGATATATGTGTGTGTGTATTTATACACGGATTCAACAGTAACATGAGTTGTTTAATGTCACAAAATATTCCTCAGCCACCACGTGCAAATGTTGTGAATACACAATAATTCTCTTTTTTTCCTTCCCAAAGCCCCAGTACACAGTTGTATGTCCTGGATGTAAGTCCTTCTAGTTCTTCTATGTGAGCCACCACCACAGCATGGCTACTGACAGGTGGGTGGTGTGGTTCCACCACCGGGAAGCAAACCTGGGCCGCTGAAGCTGTGAGCACTGAACTTTAACCACTAGGCCATCAGGGATGGCTCCATAATCATTCTTGAGTATCTCTAGAACCACTTTTTAGAGCACAAAATGAAGCAAGTAAATGGACCCTTGGGACAAATCCATTGCATTCATGCAGAAAAAGGATTTGACAAGTTAGTAAAAATTGTGTTTTCTCTTACCTGGGTGCTTCTGCTGCCCCAGTCCTTCCTGTGCTGCGCACAGACCCAATGCTGGCCTCAATCTCACCAGTAGAAGGAGCCACAGACATTCATAGCATTAGGACTGTCACCCTTTGTCCACAACCAAGGGCAAAAAATAGGGAGATTCAGTTCCCTGGGCCCTAAACATTGTCAGTCGCGTGAACAGGCTTAGTTTGGGACAATGGTTTGTAGTGCAAGCACTCATGGCCAGATTCCAAGAAATCAAAGTGTGTAGTTATCTGTGATATGGGGGGACTTCTAAAGCTCGAAGCAGACCGTCTCGCGTGGGTATAAGAAAGCTTCCAGTTGTGGTTCATCCTCAAGGCAAAATAAAATAAATCTAGGTTACATTGTAAAATCGTAATCAATGGTACCAATGCAGCATGCTGTGTCTATTCCTTTGCAGTCATTTAAACTTTGTTCTTACTTGTGTATTTTTCCCTACATATTTTTTACAGAATAGATACGGCATGAAATGATGGCCACCCAGCATGGGACCTTGGGCCAGTCATTTTCCTTCTGTTTTCTCATCCGTAAACTGAGGCAGATGGACATATAATTTCTGCCTTAATCTGATGTAGAGCTCAAGTTGCTATCTTCTTGCTGAAGGAGAAGGAGGCTTTAGTCCAGGAGAAAGAGCAAAGGCCCTGGAGTCACAGAGACCTGGTCAACTCTGTGATTTGGGGCAAGTTACTTAATTCCTCTGGACCTCAGTTTCTTCATCTGTAAAGTGGAGACAATTCTGACTGCCTTATAGAAAAGTGTTCAGGATTAAACGAATTACGCATGTTAAGTCCCCAGCAGAGTGCCTTACGTGCCAGAAATGTATATTACATAAAGCTAAACTCACTTTTGGAAGAGAAGGCAAGAGGGAATGTGTGTGTGTGCATGTGCATCTTTATTGGAAAAGTTGAGGATGTGTAGCATGGGATCTGGGCTGGTGAGGAGGGGGCGTAGGGTGGAACTCAAGGAAGTGGAAACGAAATTGCTGATTTCTGACTTGCTTTTGATAATTGGAGGAAATTAATTTCTCTAGATTACAAAAAAATGAGTGGAGGAGCATCTGTGTTTGACAGTAAACTTTTTATTGAAGTGTAGCATACACGTAGAAAAGTTAACAATTCATAATTTCCAGTTGGGAACATTTTCACAGAGTGTGCACACCCATGCGTCCAGCATCTAATTGGGAAGTAGAACATTATTAGCACCCACACAAGCTCCTCTGTGACCCCCTCACCCACTCACTAACCACGGCCACACCCCCAGCCAAAGGGAACCACTTGTCTGATTTCCAGCCCAGATTCCTTGGCCTGTTTTTGAACTTATCTAAGTGGAATTGTGCAGCATGAGCCTTCCGTGTCCGGCTCGTTTCTGTCAGTACTGTGTTTGTGAGGTTCTTCCCTGTTGCTGTGCATGGCTGTGGCGGGCTTGTTCTGGGTGCTGTCTCATATTTCAATGGGTGAATATGCTTCAGAGCAGGTACTCCTTCCACTCTTGCTGCTAGGAACATTCCAGCACACGTCTTTTGGTGAGTATTTCTGAGGGTATACCTAACGGTGTAGTAGCTGGGTCATGGGGTGTGTGTGTGTTCAGCTATTGTAGATACCGCCGAACGGTTTCCCAAAGTGTCTGTAACAATTTACACGCCCACCAGCAGCCTAGGAAAGTTCCAGCATCTCATTTCAAGATAACGACTAAGAAAGGACGCCTCATCTTGGCTTCTTGAGGTGGTGGGTTTTGGTGAAGAATTACAAATGACTTCTCTGCCAGTTCTCCACTTTGGCTCACGATGTGGTGTGACAGAGCACAAAACCTTCTCTGCAAACCCTCCCACGCCCTCTGGGCACTGTCCCCACTGGGTGTACTTGGGGGGTCCCTCTCCACATTCGTAAAATCCAAAGTTCTTTTTGACGACTGGGTCGAGCTGATGTTCCAAACTGACTATTATGACAAACGCACGCGTTGTACATACACAGAGAGGAAACGACCTTGCACGAAAGAGATGTTTGAGAAAAATTTGTTGAGTAAACACATTTAAGGACAATTTCACAGCAAGTACAATCTACATTACCAATGGAGAGTGAATTTTTGGCCCAAAGTCTCCTCGTCTCCCCTCCCTCTGCCACAATTTCTCTGTTACCCCACAGTGCCGCGGGGCTCTGCCATGACTCTAGTCCTCACTGGGCTCAGGCACGACCCCAAACCTGCTCCTCGTTGCTATGTAGGAAATGCCGGAACCAACTAGCCACCCCTCCCCCATCAGATTCCAGCTCCTGGAGCACCGGTGACGCCAAAGCATGAAGCTGACACTGTCTGATTGTCTCCGAGCAGGAGAGTCTGAATGGCCCCATTTGAATCTCTCACTTTCATGTGGCAATGGGAAAAGCAGGCCGTTTGCACATGACGGATAGAGTGCAAGACTTGCTGTAAATGTTGTTTATATTGCCTGGGGCAGATCAAATGACTTGAAGGATTAACATATCAGAATAAAAAGACTCAGATGCATGAGGAAAAGCCAGAAAACCCCACTTTGCTCAACACTGAGTCATTTTTCGACAGATTCAACTTGGCAAAAAAATTATGTTGGGATATAGTCCTTGCTCTGTTATAGGAGACTTCGGAAGCAAAATGTAAAAAGGCAACTGTTGCGTGAAACCATTAGACCCCAGATCTGATTCTCTGCCTCTCTCCACTCTGTCAGGGATCTCCAAGGAAAGGAGGCTTTGCAGACAGAGCCTGAGCTCATAGGTGTGAATTTCCCCTGGCCCATTTCTTTTCTTCTTACGTCCTCAAGGAACGCAGAGCTGGTACAAAGTCCTGCTAATACTCAGCCGTGATGAGTTCATTATTGAACCACTTGCACATTCCTGCCGTTCACACATCTACAGACAACAACCTCGAGAACGAGAGGCTCACCCGGGTGGATTGAGCTTCCGGAAAGCGTCCTTCCTTTATGTGCCAGGATTGTCTGCCATCCCAGCAGTCAGTCCCAGGCCTAGTATTTATGTTCCCTTTCACATATCTGTGTCATATTTCAAGTAGCACTAAATTCCTACGGCTGCCTTTTGGGGTGGGGGTTATAGTATTTTTCCAGCACTGTTTATTTTAAATTTCCAGTTATTATTGTTATTTCTTCTTGGTGGTTAAAGTCCAGTTGGAAAGGTTTTCCACAAGACTGAGAATTCCTGAGAAACCCTGACAATATTCAGCATTCATGATTACCTAGACGGACATATTTTACGAAAATTGCATTGCTTTTGAATACCTTCTTATGAATGAGCTCGAATGTTGGGATTCTGTGAGATTGAATTTCAGAACACATTTAACATATTTCCATCTGGCAACCTTGGGATGTCTCCTCAATCACAGTGATTGTGAAAGAATTGTTATTTGGTATGAAAACATTTGTTCAGGATGGACAAGCCTTCCTGAAAAATGTTGTACATCTTTATGGCTGACATTTTTGTTGTTTTGAATTCGGTGGGGTTTCTTTTTCACCACCAGTTTGAAATATTTCACTATAAACTCTTCCTATTCTATCTCAAACAAAACCAGCAATTTTCCCTCAGAATTATAAGTCACATCCATGAAAATACTTATATTAGTGGGAAGCCCAAGTTTCCCATACTTGTATAAATATAACGATGTTGGTACAGTTTCTCATTTCTCAGACTGGCGATCCAAGGAGGTGAAACTGAGTACAATCCTTAAAAGTTAGTTTTTTAATGGTGGACTTCATGTTTAAAGAAAATTAAGATTTTTTTCTTTCAAGTGCCCCCCAAACTTCTCGAATAATTTGTGAGAGTTACAGCACATAGGAATATACAAATAAAACAACACTAAGAATCCAATGTTTTGTGCATAGGGGAAAAGCATTGACATGAAGAAGAAAGTCAAACTCAAGGATGAGACAAGGATAAATGAAATAAAATCCCAGAGAAAGAGATGGGAACGTACAGAAAGCACCAAAATCCCTTCAGGACAAATGTGGACATCTTTCCTCACAGGTCTCTTTAGAAATAAGAAAACCATGGGCCAGCCCAGTGGCATGGCGGTTTTTGTGTGCTCCCCTTTGGTGGCCCAGGGTTTGTAGGTTTGGACCCCAGGTGTGGACCTATAAACCCCTTTTGGGCCACGCTGTGGTGGCGTCCCACATACACGAAATAGAAGAAGATTGGCACGGATGTTAGCTCAGAGCCAATCTTCCTCAAGCAAAAAGAG